GGGTGCCTCAATGTCGACTTTGGGGCCCTCAATATTGATGTCAGGAGCCTTCAAATCCCCTTCTAACTTTGGAGGAGAAAGATCCACGTCTCCTTTCAGCTTGGGACCTTTGAGGTTTAAGCTGGCATCGGGCATTGAAATTTTGGGAGCCTTGATGTGCATCTCGGGCATTTTAAACCTGGGACCTTTCAGTTTTCCTTCTGGCCCTTCAACATCCAGCTCAGGAGCGTCGATGTCAACCTTTGGTCCTTTGATATCAACGTCCGGCACGCTCAAGTCCCCTTCCAGTTTTGGGACCGAAAGATCGACATCCGCACCTCCCTTGAACTTGGGACCTTTCAAATTCAAATCCAAGTCTGGCATGGAAATATTGGGAGCCTTGATATTCATTTCAGGCATTTTAAATTTGGGGCCTTTCAGTTTTCCTTTGGGACCTTCAACGTCAAGGTCAGGAACCTCCACGTCCACTTTTGGGCCTTTCACTTGCAAATCTGAACCCTTCAGGTCCACCTGGGGAAGAGAAACGTCCACGTCTGCCTTCGCCTTGGGGCCTTTCAGGTTCAGGTCGATGTCGGGCATGGAGATCTTGGGTGCTTTGATGTTTATGTCTGGCATCTTAAATTGGGGACCCTTCAACTTCCCCTCCGGCCCTTCAATTTCCAAAGCGGCACCTTCGATATCCAACTTGGGACCCGAAACATCCAGCTCTCCTTTTGGAATGCTAACGTCCACCTCGGGCCCCTCGCCCTTAAGCCCAGGCACACCAAATTTAGGCATTTTGAACTTTGGCATTTTGAGTTTCCCCTCCGGCCCGTGAATGTCCACGTCGGGCGCCTCAACGTTGACTTTGGGGCCCTTGATGTCCAACTCGGGACCTTTCAGGTCCCCTTCCAACTTGGGCCTGGAAACATCTAACTCCCCTTTCAGTTTGTGCCCTTTCAGGTTTAGCTCCACGTCTGGCATCGAAACTTTAGGGGATGAAATACTCAGGAACGGCATTTTAAATTTTGACCCTTTGGATTTTGCCTGGACATCCAGCTCTGGAGCAGGAACATCGACTTTCGGACCAGCGATTTCAACGTCGGGTTTTTTAAGTTTCAGGTCCACATCAGGGCTTTGCACTTTAGGACCAGAAAAGCCAAATTTTGGAAGTTTAAACCTGGATTTTTTAGCTTTTCCTTCCAGATCAAGCTTCGGTCCCTCGACCTCAACGTCTGGCCCTTTGATCTCTAGCTTAGGGCTTTTCAGCTCCCCCTCGATTTTGGGAACGGAGGGATCAATGTCAGCTTTCAGTTTTGGGCCTTTCAAATTTAAGTCGATATCTGGCATGGAGATTTTAGGAACGTTGAATTGCACGTCAGGCTTCTTAAATTTAGGACCGTGAAGTTTTCCTTCTGGTCCTTCAATGTCCAGGTCGGGAACAGACACATCGACCTTTGGACCTGAGAGAGCAATGTCAGCTTCAGGGAGACTTACATCAACTTCTGGGCCTTCGCCTTTCAACCCGGGTAACCCAAACTTGGGCATTTTGAACTTGGGCA